GTACATAAATACATACTTACTGGAAGGATCACATTTAAATACCTTCGTAATATACATGAACATATTTCAATTTAGATTAAACTCTTAAGAACGATACATATCACCTAATGTTAAAATAAACGCTTCTACTTATTCGAAAATACCCGGCAGCATCAATGCATAATTAAATTTAAAACGCTTCATTTACGTTTCAATTAAAAATTTCAAGTTTCTACAAATATTCGTTACGGTCCATCTCAGGGAAGACCTGCTTAATGTAGAATAAGCATCTGTTGGGAAGGTCTGCGGTTAAGGTATTGTCAAATACTTAAAACGTCAAAGCAATAAATGCACAATATTTTTGGTCGTACAATAGTTATTTTCAAATCAGGTTGTTTCTAGAAAGGAAGCTAGAAGAAGATGAAATCAATATAATCGTTAGCCGTGCCATATTCCACAGAGTTATTTGTAAAGTGGGATTTAAATGGATAATGCAAGCCGCCTGCTACAAAAAGCACCAAAATATTTATTTTGAATCAAGTCACAAGGAACGTCAATTGTTCGAAGTGTTAAATTCATATACAAAAACCAGTTAAAAAACAATATAATACTTGAGTCGTCCTTGAGTTGAAATTGATCGATAATATCACGAACGAACCATGAATTAAATTTTAAAGAAACTAAAATTTTAACACAAGATAATAATTATCAAATATTGCCAATACAAATAAATAAAATAAAAAATAAATAAAAATGATTCATATTAATATTATAAGTCAGTTTAATAACATAATCTAAGTTAAAAATCAAATCAACTTTGTTGTAATAATAATTTAGTGTTGAAAATAAACAAATTAAACAAACTCTTAGCTACACAAACATAAATACCAACCCCAAAAACTTGTAACTAAATTTGAATGCCGGAGTTTTGGCTCATTTGCAAGCTTATCCGATCTCGCCGCATCAGTGCAGACAAACAATAGTTTAAACGATTCAGTATCATCGCATCGAAGTCTCAATTTTAAGCTATTAGAGAAAATTCATTTGTTTTGATACCAATCGGCTCTTTTGAATTAGTTTTCACGTGCGATTGAAACCTCACATCACTGTCCATGAGAAACTCTAAATTTGTTTTTCAGTTGGATTTTAAAAATTAACTTAAAAATAAACTTTTTCCTTAGCCTCGCTAAGTAGGGATGTGATTGGAAGAAATATGGTAAGAAAGTAACAGCGGGTGATTCCAAGGGATAACCACCATATTTCTCAAATCATTATAAAAGTTCCGTATTTTGGATTCAATATTCAACACGCAGCATTCACAGACGTTCAAGTTAGACACCACATAAGGCATTCATAAAATTGCTGTTTTAATTTAAGTAAGGTGAGGAGTTTTGCCTAAAAATGAATGGTTGCTATAGTAACGACCTAAGGTGGGAAAAAATAATTCCAGAGATGAGGAATGTATCATTGCCGTATGAGAATATAATGTAACAATATTAAAATTATTTATAAATAGTTCAATCAAGCAAACTTGACATACTTAGGGCAAGAAAATAAGTAAATTCGCCTGTGAAATATATCTTCGATTTGTTTACAACATATAGTTATTACTATAGATGTTGAGCCCTGCCTATACCGACAATACGGGAACTTATGAAGCATCTATGAAAAAATTTTTGAGGTCTATTCAACATGCGTCTGCGCGAGATTTAAATCTCGTTTTTGACCAATGACCTTGCGGCATTGCACAACAAACATAACCGCTGACGGACCGTCAGTAAATATGCTTAGATCTCGTTAAATCTTTTGGCAAAACGAGTTATGTGTGTGGAGATCGCTAGAGGCACGCGCGGAAAATTATTACTTTCTCTACCAAAATATCAATTTTGGTAAAGCCACAACTCACACACCTAATAGCTGTATGCTTTACATATACATAAACGGCACTTTCGGATTGAAACCTTTTCAAACTTCGCGGTATTGCTGCCTTTTTATCAGTCTTTGTATACATATCTAAAGCCTCCTTTTCGCTTTCAAAAAGTCTTTCTTCTCACAAATAATCAAAATCGAGGTTAAAAACTACCCTACGTGTAGGGGAGATTAACGTAAGCTTTTATTCGTTGAAGGTTTTTCAGGTCAAAAAACGATATCGCTATTGTTAAAAAAGAATGACTTGTTATATTATGGTTAATCTTTAACGAAATATTAGCAAGCTATTGTTAACGTATATTAAGTTAAATTTCTAATTTGCCAATGCCTATACAATATTATATTCTCTGTGCAGTCTATCGGTAAAAAACCCCAGCGATGGCCAGCACTGGCAACATTGTCTCAGTCAGTCAAGATTTGAGATCACGTTAAAAAGAAAACAATGCTATCTGCTTTCATTATGCATTTATGAATATATTAATAATTTAAATTTTAATATTTAATTCTCTTAGATATCTTGAGATGTCTGCGACCATCCAATTGCCAGTTTGTGTCACGAAAATGTATAATTGGTGCGGTTTACACTGTCCCGGGGACTGATATACATCATTATCCGTGAAAACCGCTCAAATTTATCACATAAAAAATAATTTCAACGTATTCGGCCACAGTGATTTCGAGGGATTGCGCGGCGATTACGCAGATTTGAGATTGTATTAGAGAAGAGTATTTATTAAAATTTATTATTATTTAAAAATAACGTAAAGTAAATAACATTAAATACTGGGGTGTCATAGTTGACAAAAATTTACAATATTCCACTTATAACCTGGTTGTTACGGCACGCAAGTTTACAAATACATCTATAAATAATATAATACAAAATTAGTTGAATGTTTTTTGCAGTACGCCAATGGCGGCCCATGGGATTTTTTTTAAAGGTATTCCCAAAAAAAATTTGCTTATCCAAAAACGGAGAAATATTAATTTCTTCAATTATTTGTTTGACAAATTTCAAGCATACACTGAAACAGATCATTCTGAATTTCTTTGCTTACTTGACACGGGACTTAAATTAAGTACTGAAAAGTAGTTTGGGGAAATATTTTATAAAATATTGTATACAAGAAATATAGTTGTATGTCACAATACATGATTTAAAGTAATAAATTTAGTACAAGTGCATGCGCAGATCGCATCTTGAAAAGAACGTTTTCAACGAAATTTCAACAAACTTTACCTTCGACTGAAGTGTTAACTATAATTTTCGAAGGACATGTCCTATGATTATGATTACTACGTCCAGTTTTCTAACTATGACGACGACTTCTACTTACTTACACATTAATAGACATGCAACCTTTGTAATCACTTCTGTTACACTCATATATTTTTTATTCATGGCGTGGGTATTTTTTTCTTGTAAAGCCGGTCACTCACACAGAGGGAAGACTGGAGACTTGAATGCACATGCCACGAGGAGCAGTTAAAACTCCTCGTGTGTGGCGAAGAATACGGAATGCACATTCAAGTCTGCTAAAATCAGAATTGTGGGTAGGGACAAGTCGCTGCACTCTGCGGTGTTGTTTCAGTAGCGTGCTAATTATTGTTATAAGTCAAACTTTTTATATTAAGAAAATAATTTATATTGATTAATATGGTTGATTTACGAAATATTGAATTATATCGAGAACACCCCTGTTTGTTTCGTGTTAAAAGCAAAGAATACAGCGACTGAAACAAAAAAAACAATGCCTACAAAAAATTAAAACAAGTTAATGTACATGCATCTAAAGATACGGTAGTAAAAAAATTAACACCCTACGTGGAAGCTGGCGAAAAGAGCACAAAAAAATGGTAAGGTCGCAAACTTCTGGTGCTGGCGAAGAGGATGTATATTACCTCTGTGATATTACAACTTACTATTCTTTCTACAAGACCAAGAAATACCTCGATCCTCAATATCAAATATGGAGGACATTCAGCTAATAAGCAAATATACGTTTTTGATTTAATCGTTTTATTATATTTAATTATACTTTAGGGTCGATTTAACCAACATTATTTATACCTTAACGTACAGTTAAGAAAAATCGTTACTATGGTTATAATAATTGTTGCTATGGTATTATTCGATAATTACCTTTAACTTTTGTTGGTGAATCCCGGTCCTTAAGATAATTAACCACTGTAGCCAGTTACTTTATCATGACCTCTTGCCACGGAACAGTTCCTTCTTCATTAAAATAGTTCGAATACAATTTCCGTACAGCTACAGCGTCACTGGTTGCATGTCTATAATGTCTCCGTTGTAATGCTGTAATGCTAAGTCCAAAGTGAATAGCAATATCTTCAGTATCTAGACATTCAGTTGGAACGTACCTACAGTGTCTTGTTTTTGAAGAAGAGGAGTAACCAACTTCAATAGCTCACCATAAGTTTCTACACCCTTAAGTAGTTATGCCAATCAGCAGGTTCAAGCCGCAATTCTTCTAGCAGATTAACATGAGAATATTCATTGCGCTTTTGTAGCCATTCTTTAACCCTTCGTGATCGACGAATTTTTTTCTTATTGTTGATAACATTTTCTTTTTTTATAACACAAATGCACGCCACAGTCATGTAGTATAGATCCTTCTTTGCCGACATAGCCATGAACACGCACAACTGACGCGAAAGACGTAGCGTGTGGAGGTAAACAGTAAACTTTTAACTTAGGACAAGCGTGCGCACGTTTAATTGTACATTCTTCCCTCTATGTGAGTGGCCGGCTTTAGAAAACAGTTTGCTTCTTCGTGAAAATTATCTAATTACAGTTGATTCCTTTTTGGATTAGTTATGTTTGAATCCATATTAAATGGAAAAGAAGTCTTATTTGTGCATATATGCCGAGTTCTTTTGGATCCTGAGGGGTTAGTTTTTATCTGCCTCAAATAAATAACAAAATTATGTAACAATTAAATAAGTCGCCGCTGAATGCAATTTCGAGTAATAAAAATAAAAGCAAATATAAACAAAAATTCAATGGATTCTCTTAACGTCGAAACTGGTGCCGAATCAAAAACGATGACTTACAAACCATTCAATTGCAGGATTGAATGCATCCGAAGAGAAATCGTACATATTTCTGCGCAAAGAATTGCCCGTTCGCCTCGCAAACATCATGAAGGAGATTGCCCTTTTGCCGGAGAACCTATTGCGCATGCCGTCGGTGATGGCGGTAAACGATTGGTACATGCGCAGCTTCCACGAAATTATAGAATTCGAGAAGAAGAACCCGTCGCCGGACACCCTCGAGCACTTTTGCAATGAGTTGGTAAAGATACGGAACCGCCATTCGGACGTGGTGGAGACGATGGCCCAGGGCGTGCTGGAACTGAAAGAATCCCACGATGTCGATGTTCATACGGAGCACAGCATACAATATTTCCTGGATAGGTTCTATATGTCCAGGATCTCGATCCGCATGTTAATTAACCAGCACAGTAAGTTGCCTGCCTTTTTTTTTCAGTTATTTGATATTTTTGGTTATTTAATTTTCTTCGTGGTGTGTGCTGCGGGATTGGCAGATAAGATACTATCAAATGATTAGATTGTCCATTTAACGTGGCCCGTTTTTTATGGGATGATACTTTTTCTCAGAATGTGGTCAAATTACCAAAAAACCTTATACAAGGTACAAAAGTTGTTTGGATTCATTTATACTCATATTACATTATTATATATACGGGGTGTTTGTATTTTCGCTTGCTTTCTGATTTTAAATTTTAAATTAAATAATTTTTGAATTATTTGCAAAGTTCTAGAAAAAATCTATGTGTCATGTCCTAAACATAAGTCTTAATGTTTGTTATATATTTGTTGGGCTTGATTTTCTTATAGAAGGTGTTCTACTGTAGTGGTTCGTGTTAATATAAATATAAAAACTTTCTGTTTATTGCTTTGTTATATGGAGGCTCCGACATCAGGTTTCTTTTCCCTTGTTAAAAATTTACTATTTTTCCTACTTCTATTCCTGTTTTAACGACGATTTGATTTGCTGCCGAGGAAGTCTTTAGGATATAGAAACGCATTTTACGTATGTTTAAGCCGTGGAATTTTTCATGTCGAGACCTATTTCTATAACACTGTTAACACTTCCTAGTATGTACATAGTAAATTGTGCCACTTATGTAAAAAGCAACTTTAATCTTTATATGCTCTCAAGAAACTCAGATATTCAGTACAATTTAGGACCGAATCTTAACATACAAATTCCTTTAAAAAAATTATAATAAATTACCTATCGAACTCAAGGAGATAGCTAGTCAAACAAAATTCAAATGCACCTTAAAAACAATTGCTACACCTCGCCTATTACAATTTTTAGAATTTTTTTTTCTTGTGACATCTTTTAATACGTATTCGTTGTTTGGTATTGTTATTATTATTATTATTATTATTATTATTATTATTATTAATTAATTAATTAATTATACTAACATAATTTTATATTGTTTATATTTGTATTATACTGGCAATATCCAACACTTGTAACTCATGTCTTATGGAAATAAAGCTATCTTTATCTAATATCATAAAAATGGATAAATACATCGTGGTCAGGAATTAACATTAAAAATTTAAATGAAAAAATTGTTAAGAGTATTTTTTTTTCAAATGGAAACATTCTATTTTTATCATTTTATTGTATTTCGCATGTAAAAAAAGGTGACTGTATGAGGTTGCTTATTAGAGAAATTTGTAGAAAATATTAGTAATAGAACGTTATTTCATTGTTAAAATGCTATGACGACGAACCATTCGTTTGGAAATCAAATTTTTGACAGCTTTATGGTTGTTTTAATACAAAAAAGTCTATAAACCGTCTTTCTAAAAAAATATTAAATAAGGGAGAAAATACTGATAGTAAACAAAGCATAATAAAAAGATAGTTGATTATTTGCAACATTTAGAAAAAAGTATACGAAAACATTTATAAACATTAATATTTGTAATAAAAAAAATTTGTTCAATTTTCTATTATTCGTTTAAAAAAGTATTTTCTTTCTTTGCCGGGGATGATTTATAAAATTTATTAAAAATTGTCAAACGATCGTAAATAGTAGCTGCAATTTCTTTAGTGCTCCATTTTTTCCTGCCATGTTTCGTTATTATTTTCTTGACCAATTAATAACATTTTTACAATTGAAAAACGTTTTATTGAAATATTAAACCTTACACAAAGTCCTATTTTTAAATGCTAAATATGATAAAATTATAAAAATGAGGAGTTACCATTTGAAAAAAATTGCTTGTAACGATTTTTTTTACTCAAATTTTTAAAATTTGTTATTGCCTACCCTGTATTTATTTATATTTGAAATATCAGCAAATACCGGATAGGCCGATAGATCACTTGTTCACGAAAATACACACCCTTTACATACAGTAATATAATAAGCTTAACTAACTGACCAAAACATGTCTAGAAAGGTCCTTAATACAGAGGGTATTTTATTTAAAATAAAAAAAAATGTCATTTGTTCGCAAAACTACCCCGTACATATAATACTATATTATTTTAAAAATATAAGTACATTCAAGCAACTTTTGTCTTTAAGTTTTTTACGGATTATGGGATAAAGTATAAAGAGCAGAACGTTAAATAGAGAAGTCCTAATGTTCCTTAAGACCAAATCTAAACCTAAAGCCAATTTCTACATGTATTTTTACCAGAAAAAAAAACACCAATTTTTTGATGATAAAAGTATCTCATAAAGTTATATTTAGACTTTTAAGAGTCATCCTTAGTGATTTCGACTGTATTTACATTTTTCATAGAGGTTAACCGTATAAGTTATGAAAAAAATGCATTGCGCCGATTTACGCTCAAATTCGGGGAAAAATAGCTGAAAATGTATCTACCAAATATACCTAATTTGGTAGACACCTTGCAAGATTTACATGACAAAATACAAATGGCATCGTGTCTACCGGGCTTACCGATTTTTAAACAAGACGTTTTACATTTGTTCTTTTTGAATAAATTCGAGTTGGATGTTCAGAGCGCCCTACGACGATTCTTTGTCATATTTCGCTTAACCTCCCATAAAGATTGATGATTGATTAATTCTAAAAAAACTGCTGCCGCGTCTTATCTCAAATAATTTGTTGTCAGTTGTAGTTTTATTTACGTGGCAAAGTCCTCGTTTAATCTCGTCTAAATCGACCATACAATATTGTTCATAGTTGACTTGCGTGTTGAAAATTAATAAAAGTAATCTACCAAACACTCGAGACAATTGGGTAACCAAAAAAGTGTGATCTGGTTAAAATTTGAACAAAAGATACTACAGTTATTTGATTTATCACGCTGTATAATATCAATTAGACAAAACCGATTAATAACACAGGTCTACAAAATTAAACTTTATGACATATGTTTTTATTTTGAAAACTGATTCTATATAATTTTGGTTGGCTGATTTCAAAAATTTTATGCATTTATTTGTATCACGTAACGTTTTTTTCAATTATTAAAGAAAAAAAACGATATTTCTAAAATAATTTATTTTTTTATTCTGTAAAAACGTGGAATCCTAGTTAAAAAAAAAGGAAAAAAAGAACTTTACTCAGACTTTTTTCAATGAAATCTTCGTCTTTTTGTCAGAAAGCTGAGTAGTCCGGATATTCGACTGTGTGTTTTTAAGAGCATATCCCTTTTTAACATCCAGCAGTAGTCCGTCATCATCGTTATCTCCAAGGTTTTCAGGAAAATAGTTCAAACTCATATTATAACATAGACGATGAAAGTGTGTTCTAACGATATGAAATTTTCTGGTTCTTTTGGGGCGGTAGGCATCGACGCATCTGGTCCAAGAGGAACAAGTCGAATAACAGAGTCGATGAAAATGTTGTAACATGTTTTGAACAATACTTTCGTAGTTTTCGTCCTTAGAGTTCCCAAGAAACTTATCAATTACTTATTTAAATTAAACCCAGGCGTTTTTCTTGACATTGGTCATTGTATTTTGAAAATTATTGTTTTTGTATAATGTTCTTATCGGCGGCCCAACAAAAATACCTTCTTTTATCTTGGCGTCAGATATTGCTAGAAATTTCTTGCACAAATATTTGAAATACTGTCCAATAAAGCATGGAAATTTTGTATAACCCCCCTGTTGTCCTAGGAGCATGCACGGCACTTTAAGGTCAACAAAAAGCATCCACTGATGTTTTTGGTAGTTTATTTTCTTCAAAAGAAGTCCTAAATTTTCATACGTTTTTTTTCAATGTACCGAATGTGCAACGGCAACCGATGCTAGTTCGTTACTAACAATTCGGATGCATCCTTTGGAAGGTGCAAATCTCTAAGTAAATCATTTAATTCGCTCTGGTTAAACACTTCGGGTTCTCTGAAATCTGGTGCGAAATCTGAGCCATCTGGGTCGGAATTAGATTTCTCTGATTCTGACTAGTTGTATCGGTACAGCTGATCCATGAGGAACTGGTCGAATAGCAGAGTCAAAAATCGGGATACATAATTTATTTCTTATTTTTTCTGTTTTTGAACATTACACGATCAAAAATAACAATGATCACTGTAATTCCTAGGCTCTGGCCATACCATGAACACCAAAGCTAGTATGTACATTAATAAAATAACATTTTAAACATATAGAGCGCTATAAAAAATGACGTGGTAGAGCAAAAATATGGCGGTTGTTTGGGAAAAGGGCTCCCAAAATTATACAAGTAAGCAAACAGCTTTCAAACATCAGAATCACTGTAAACCTGTGAAATCTTTTACTTACTCCCTACTTTAACATTGACCAGCCGTGCGCAAAGTGTCACTTTTAAAACGTCAACTTTATTAAACACTGTTGCTAGTCACTTAGAGCGTTTCTGATACGTTAGTCTCGGATAAGATGGTTTCGGTAGATTTAAAACACTGACTGTATTTTTAATTGTAAATTGGAATTGTGAATGTGAAATTACAATTTTTTATGATTATGTAATTATTTTTTCTGTTTAATTACTTTTTAATTTGGCGCGTCTTGAATTTTATCGGCCTGACGCGAAGGAGGCTTTGAAATGAAACATAAGAGTAAGTGTCAACAGGAATTGTCACATACTGCTACCAAAAAACAACTATCACAAACTACCAAAAACATCAGTGGGTGCTTTTTGGTGACCTTAAAGTGCCATGCATGCTCCTAGGACAATAGGGGGATTATACAAAATTTCCATGCTTTATTTGAGAGTGGGATAGTCGGGCAAGAGATAGACAAGCCTTACATCTGGTAGCAAAAATGTATTAAGGTATAATATAGTTGGCTCCAAAAACGTTTTATCGCCTCTTCTTACTTTCTTCTCCTCTCTAGACAAAAATGGACGGTGTTTCAAATATTTGTGCGAGAAATTTCCAGCAATATCTGACGCCAAGATAAAAGAAGGTATTTTTGTTGGGCCGCCGAGAAGAACATTATACAAAAACAATAATTTTCAAAACACAATGACCAATGTCAAGAAAAACCCCTGGGTTTAATTTAAATAAGTAATTGATAAGTTTCATGGGAACTCTAAGGACGAAAACTACGAAAGTATTGTTCAAAACATTTATATTTAACGACCGCCAATTTTATTACACGTAAAATACAATAATGATATGTCAAAAACGTACTGATCCAAAAGTGCGTTAAATTTCTAGTGAATTGACTATAGCAACAACTACTGTGTTTAATGTAGTTAAGAAATAAGGAGTATAAGGCATTTAATTAGAATATGTAAGTCGCGAAAAAGAAATACACTACGAGAAATAACTGCATGGTGGAATATAGAAACTGGGATGAATATTTCCAGAAAAAAAAACGAACGCATAAAATACGCAAATCGAACATCTGTCCATCTGTCGATTCTCCAATTCCGCCGCTGATTTTAATAACTAACTACTCTTAACGTGTTTCAATGTGTGAATAACCCCACTAATTGTAAGTAAGTTCATTTATTTTCAGCGTTACTGTTCGGCGGTCAACTGGAAAATGCGCCGGGTCCTAATAAGAGCAAGTACATTGGCTGTATAGACACCCAGTGCGACATCGTCAGCGTGATCAAAGACGCTTATGAAAATGCACGGTTCCTATGCGACCAGTATTATCTGGCATCGCCGGATTTGATAATAAAGCAGGCGCATCACAATGGTAGGTAAAGCGTCGGGTGGAGCCTTCGAACAGCAGTATTTTTTAAAACAGAACATTGTTCTGAAAACCGAAAGGGATAGAACTAGATTTGGTTTAAAACGATAATGAGAATTTTCGGTATTAATTAATGTTACAAAATAAGTAAAAACTACAATAAGTTTCAAAATTTCGTGATAGACCTAAATGATTAGTTTTATAAACTTCACGGGGGATTTGAATTTTTTAGGTAGCCAAACAAACTAATAAATTTCACATTATATCACGTAAGCATCCAAAATTCGCGTTCATCACGCTGCTATTAAATTTTTTTTATTGTGCATGTAGCGGAAAAGTATTTAAGGTTAAAAAAATTAAGCGTTTGCTTCAGAAAGGAATTTAAAGGAAATAAACTGCAAATATCTTACGCAGACCTATATCCAATATTGCTTTAATATAAGGCGAGAAGTTATTCTAGATTTTTTCTAATTTGCTCTTTGGGCGTATAATTGTTATTTTAAACTTTACTTTTATTATATTTTAACAATTTCATTACAAATGTGCCAATTACTAAGTATATAGTCCAATAATTATCTAATTATAACTATTGATTTTTAACTAACTACGTTCGAATCTGCAAGGTATTAATATTATAACCTAAAAGCTTTTTATAGGATGTGTCAATTTTTGATGGTTGTACGAAATACCTCCCTTATTTATAAAGCTAGCGTGTAGCAGCTTTCGTGACCCGAAGCTCTTTTTTATTAAATGAAAAGCGGCACAAACCAAAATGCTATCTTAGAGTTTTAGATATAGGGTGATTTTGAAAAGGTGGCTTAGACCCCATTTGTAGTTCGGTTAGTTTTGGTTAGATGGTTATGCGTAAATTTATTGTAAAGATTAAAATTGGGCTGGATAAGGTTTTTTACGGAGTGGCGTAGCCAGTTTTCTTGTGAAACTCCCAAATTTTGATATAGAAACTCACTATGTTTTTTTAAAATTATTTATTTATTAATTATTAAAGAGGTATTTCAAATATAATAGGATTTAATGGTGAACAAACACAAGATATATAGATACATACTTTGTATTTGAAGTAGCTCTTATGCGTTGTATATTTTGGAATAGCTAATAACAAGTGTAATAAAATTATTGAAAGACATACAGGAATTTCCATTAAAAAAAAATGCTTTTAATTTGTATATCAAAATTTGAGTTTCAGAATAAAACTTGCAACGCATATTCCAAATCCAAAGGGTGTCTAAAGATGCTACCTTTTCAAAATCACCCAGTATGTAAAAATTTAATATGGTTGTGACATTTATGCATTACTAAAATTTGGGTGTGTGTTGTGTGAATTTTTTTTAAACCGGATACCAAAAGCCTTTTATTTTCACGAAATATTCAGTTTGGAAACGATGGTGGGAGTATTTCATAAGGAAGAAGGTAATTTGAGCTGGGATCGATATTATTTCAGATTTAGAAAAGGAGCAATATATCAATATCGTCTACGTACCCTCTCACCTCTATCACATGCTGTTCGAATTATTCAAGAATTCAATGAGAGCGGTAATGGAGTATCACAGTTCTGCTGATCAGCATCCGCCCATTACCGTGACAGTATCTAAGGGAAAGGAGGACATATGCCTGAAGGTAATATAAGGCGTGAAAATGTTTTTTTTTAGCAGACTTTGGTACGTTTGTAGTTGGCCTTTTCCAATTGTTGCCATCATTACAGATGTCTGACCAAGGTGGTGGCATAGGAAGGTCGACTACCGATCATTTGTTCAAATATATGTACTCGACAGCGCCACAACCCAGCAAGTCTGACGCACATACCGTGCCGCTGGCTGGATACGGTTATGGGCTGCCCATATCCCGCCTTTACGCTCGGTATTTCCACGGGGACCTGGTGCTACTCTCGTGCGAGGGTTACGGCACTGACGCAGTCATCTACATGAAGGTGAGCATATGGTTTAACCTTTTTTCAGTCTGTTGAATGAAAAAATAACATGTCATGTAATTTACAAAGAAAAAGAAAAGCGTTGGCAATCGACGAATTAGTTACATATTGATATTTATAGAAAGTGGTCCCGAGCATGATGATGTTGTGTAAGTCCCTGGCAATAAATTTACCAGCTGATGCGCGAATATAGAAAATTAAATTTGTTGAAAGAACTTTGAACCTGATATATTTATACACACGTTTCGTTCAATTTGGGTGATTTTGAAACATCACGTTTGCATTAAATTAGGTCTACAAAACTTGTAACTTGGCTAACACAAAAAAAATATTTCAACACAAATATTTTTGCTGTTGGGAACATTATTATTTGTTCTCTATATTTTGAGTTTTCAGTGTTTCATAAAAACATTTTTTTTTTATCTATATTTGTAGCTCGATATTTTATCCTAACGGTTTTGACCCAATGTTTGTATAAAAAAATTTGACTTTATTTTGAACAAGGAATCACGCCCTTAAATTTTTAACATATGTTTTGAAACACACTGTATGCCTGTAAATCTGAAGGACTATCTATCTATCTGTTAATATAAATGCTTTTTTTTTTCAGCGAAAATGCATAAATTTGTAATCTATCACATTACTTAGCCATTTTAATTTGCTAATTGTTAAAAACAAATTTTATACTTATAGTTGTTAATAATCAAAATTGCTAATTTATTTGCGCAGCATTGAAGTTTTCCGTTTCAATGCTGCGTCGAATTATGCATGTGACGCCACTACATTTGTGACTGGCCCCACAGACGTCCAACTAAAAGAGACCCCATTAGTCATTCGTAAAATTACAGGCATTGTCCAACGAAGCCAACGAGTTATTGCCAATATTCAACAAAACTACATCAAAATTCTATCGGACGGCCATACCAATGGGTGATTGGTCTAACCAAGCCACGCATATCGGCGACCGGCAGATCAGCGTGAACCTACGCAAGCACCAGCTTCCTCAGTCGTGTGAACAATCGTTGACGAGGGCCCTTTAATATTTACTCTTCCTCTGGACAGGGATGGTTCGAAAGTGATATGGTTTGTACCAGTGGAGCAAAGCGCGAAAATAATTTAAGTAAAATACTTCAGTTTGTTATTTTTTATATTGTTGACACACATATAATTGTTGCCCAGATGGTTGAACGATTTTTCTCTTAGTTCAATTAAGCAATAAAGATTCACAGCAATAGAGCTTGGCAATCCGTTTATGGAGTTAAGTGACTAATGAGAATTGAATATTTATATCCCATGATCCTCTTGTAACCTGTTTTTCAATAAAGTAAATAGGACTATTTATGTTTTTAATAAGAAAATTCTTAGCAAGGAAAGGTGAATTTTGACAAGCTATAACTGGAAAAACATAACGTTTTTAAATTTTTGTTGCATGACTTATTACCATTATTTTGTCACCTTGCATCTTTCCTCCAAGTCTCCGAACACTTTGTATATTGGATTTGTAGGCTACACATATTTTTTTTACATTGATACCATCATCAACCTTTAGACATTTTTACAAAGGGGCAGAATTATGTTTCAACTGTATAGGACACAACATAGGTAATAAGGGTAAAAATAAACCCCTGTAAATAGATATTATTTGAAATGTATGTAGATATATTTTTATTTTACATTGTCGCAAATAAACATTAAATAAGCGAAGAAATTGTATTACTTGAACAAAACCCCACATGTATCACCTTTCGTACACCTTATATGTGTACTGGATCCCATTTTCTTCTTGAATTTCCGAAGGCACTGCAGGATCACTGAAAAAAATCAAGAGGTAATGAAAGTTGTATATGATGAATGGTAATAACAACACACCTGACTTCTTTTAAATCATCAGGAATGGGAGGTAAAAATGTGTCGCAATCAAAATCTTTAAAAATTTTTGTTAAATACAGCCTGTAAAAGTTCTTTGATTCTAAAGCTTCCTAAAAAGATTTTCTAACTCATATGTGAAGAATAAGCACTATACTTACCCTGTAAATTGAAGAGCCTCCTATCACCCAGACCTCTTCATATTTATCTGAAAACCTGTCACATTCCAATTCTTCAAGAGCTTTATCCAACGAGCTGAATGCGTAAGTGTCCGTAAATTGCTTTAAATCGGGATTTGAACGAGACAATACGAAATTAATCCTATTGGATAAAGGTTTGTATTTAAGAGGAATGCAATCCCATGTACGCCTACCCATTATAACTATGTTTTTTTTGTGTTTTTCTTTGGTTGAGGACGTCATTTTACTGAAGTAAGACATCTCCTTTCTAAAAAACACGAAAGCAGTTCATTACTTTATAGGAACTTTTTAATAAACAAAAGAATGAAAACTCATCACGGACGGATAAAGGAACTTACTTCAGACGCCATGGTAAGTCGCCGTCTTTGCCGATTCCCAAATTTTCGCAAGCGGCCGCTATTAGTTTCAGTTGCACCGGCATTTTGAAGGAAATAACAGAGGAATTAATATATCACTAGAAAACCCGGTAGGTGTAAACCCAAATTTGAGGTTATGACAATTTGTTATTTATGACTGCAAATAATCTCAACCAACACAAATAATATAAATTTGAAATCTATGATGGAAAACAGCTCCAACGAGAATATACGTAATACATAGTGAACTACTTCGGAAACTTGAGTTCTTATGAATTTTTTTATTACTATTTTTTATGACCACAACTACATAAGGTCATTCGGCCAGCTTACAACAACAGGTATCTGTAATCCAAAATTCCTAAAGGATGCCCTCATAAATAAAGCTGGAAAGCTGCATCATCCTCTAGGTGTGTTAATATATACAAAATGACGACCGATTCATCTAACGGCTCCAGCAATTATCTCATACGAGCTTATCAATCCCATCTGGCCTGGATATCAGCGTGAATACAGGAAATCCAGAAACCGAGCAATACACCATAGAAAATCATAGACATTCTCACATAACAAGAACTAATTCACAAAATTATAGGCACTACGCCTCTAACAATTCAATTAAAAGGCGAAACAAATTTTTTAGCCGATTTCGAATCTTTTTGGAACCGGGCTGAAACAAATATCTGTAATGTGCAATTGTGCCCTCGCGTCCCCTTATTAATTGCTTAATTTAAGGAGAGGATGAAATATTCTTTCTGAGTATAGGGGTCACTTCAAATTCGGCAAACCAAAAGTGGGGATAGTAACCGCAATGCGGAAACAGGTTTCAAGCGTTATTTGAATAGAAAGTTAATACAGATTAGCTTTTTGTTGCTGTTTTTTGATTTCGTGAAATACAAATTGGTCTTACAGAAGAACATTGTACCTAATTTTCAATTAAATTTCAATCCTTGAATTGAAAGATGTCGTACGTCACACAATAACCTTTGTGATCAGCCGTACCGTCGAAAGCAAATGTTTATTCTTTAACCACGGCATTACCAAATCCTGTACTATTCTATATCCCATAAATTTATTTCCATGCTGTCATATGCCGTAAAGGTGGTGACAAGGGAAGAAGTATTTTGATTCAAAAAGTTTGTTAACCATGTACGGAGGCGGCCGCGCACCCATTTTGGTGTTAAGTAAGAAAACCAGAATATTTTTCGTCAATTTTTTAAGATAAATGTGCAATTTTTCCTTTTAGGCCAAAACACAAAACGCGAATCAGGCAGGAAAGTTCAGGTGGAGAACATAAATGCGGGAAAAGTGAGTAAAAAAAGCACGTGTTTATTTTATTCTTTCTGGAATTTTTTTTTTATTAATTTCTATACACTGTGTAAACTTGGAGGTTATTATTTTATTTCTGGTAACACCCTTATTTCAGCAAATCGCTGATGTAATCCGTACCTGCCTGGGGCCTCAGGCAATGCTAAAAATGCTGATGGACCCGATGGGAGGAATCGTCATGACGAATGACGGTAATGCGATCTTGCGAGAGATCACAGTGCAGCATCCAGCAGCCAAAAGTATGATTGAGATTGCTCGTACCCAGGATGAAGAAGTTAGACATTCCCCTTTAATTTTTTTATCCAATTTTAAAGTCTTTTTTTAATCAGGTTGGTGATGGTACAACGTCAGTGATTGTATTAGCAGGTGAAATGTTGGCAGCTGCCGAACAATTTCTTGAACAACAGATACATCCTACAATAATAATTCGGCAGTACCGGCAAGCCCTTGAAGACATTATTACATTGTTGGAAGGTCCACTTAGTCTTGCCATTGACAGAAATGATAAGACAGCCTTGGCTAATGTTGTTAGTAATGTGTTTTCATCAAATGTCAACAAATCTAACTAACCAAGAATTTTCATGATGTGAATTTTTAACATTTATTGGTTTATGATTAAAGTAAACTAATGTCTTTTAAATTTATTTCATAAATTGAAATGTGCAGGTACAAGGATGTATTGGAACCAAGTTTATTGGCAAATGGTCTGATTTGGCGGTCAATATTGCTTTGGATGCTGTGACAACAGTTTTTGTTGACGAGAATGGTAGAACTGAGGTAGATATTAAGAGATATGCAAAAGTGGAAAAAATCCCAGGGGGTTCTATTGAGGACTCTGAAATCTTGAAAGGTGTTATGCTTAACAAAGATGTAACACATCCCAAAATGAGACGCTATATAGAGGTAAATGTTATAGTAGGTGCTATAAGTCATGGGCCTCTAATTGTATATTTTCAGAATCCCAGAATAATTCTTTTGGATTGCGCACTTGAATACAAAAAAGGTGAATCTCAGACCAATGTAGAGATCACTAATCAAGGTGTAAGTTAAAAATAAGTTACTGATTTTTTCTTATTTTTCATGTCTTCTAATTTTAGGACTTCACTAGAATGCTTGAGATTGAAGAGGAACATGTGAGAAAACAATGTGAGGAGATTATTGCTCTCAAGCCAGATGTAGTGTTTACAGAAAAAGGAGTGTCTGACTTGGCCCAACATTTCCTACTCAAGGCGGGCATCAGCGCTATCCGAAGGGTCCGCAAGTCAGACAATAACAGGATTGCCCGAGCTTGTGGGGCGACTATTGTTAACAGAAGCGACGAGTTGCAGGAGTCCGATGTTGGGACGGGTGCGGGACTGTTTGAGATTAAGAAGCTGGGAGATGAATACTTCTGTTACATCACCAAGTGTAAAAATCCCAAGGTGAGATGCCCATTTAATAACAAGTTCCAAAAAAAAACTGCTTTGATAATGAAAAAAAGGATAATCCTGGGAAGTTAATGGGCTAGTTAAAGAAAATGGTATTCACTTCCATGAAGTTTTTAGATGGATATTCTAATAAAAAGCAAATATCCAGCAAACACATATGCAACAGATATGTTGGAATTCTGATATTACATCTGTGATCTAAAATTTATATGCATGTTTTTGTCTTGTGTTTTGGGCGATCCAATGTCTTTGGTAGACCTAAAACATTTATGGTATTTGAGTGTTTGTTGTTGCTCATGTAACTTAGCGAATCTATTTATGCTGTCTTGCAAAAATGTCTCCAAAATTGTGCATCGCATTTATAAACAGACATTTCTGTATTAAACACTCCATCTGCTTGTGCCTAAATAAACTCGTGACTAAACTATGGTTTATAAAGCTTGTTGTATAATATACTATTTTTCTACTGTGAAATATAAATTCATTTAAATACATTTCACAAAAAAAGTGTTCTTTAAGCGGTATATATTTTGTAGAGCCTGTAGAAACATAAAAACAATGTGTTCTTTCATTTCAAAATTGCACTAACACTTTTGATTTTACCTTCCGCAATGCTGGATGACACCTATAAATCTATGAATTCTGTCAAGAATTCTCTAGTAACGTGCCGAATATCAGTCTAGTAAATAATCTAAAATACCACAGACTAATAATAATAATAATAATTTGTGGGTGTGATACAGTGGATGTGGTGTGATACATGGATGGAATACAGTTCCAATTCAATTAAAAGATCCTTTAACTTCTTTTTAAATGTGGTCTCACTGGCAACGGCCTTAACGTTATTTTCAATACTTAAAGTAAAATAACAGACAGTCATAAAGTCCATAGACAGTCGTCAACATATTGTTTGATCTGAATACCATCTACGGCTTTCTCTAAAATCCATCTTCTCAATTGTTCTGAATACTTATTTCTGAACAGTAAATATTTTTTCAATTAGACTGTTACTACCCCAAAAAATTATACCTAAATCAAGAAAAATATGTAATATCCAAGCTGGTTTATATTATAAACCTGTGACGTGCGCGTGAGGGTGTTTCTACCTGTGTGTATGTGGACTACTACTCTCCAATGAAAAGAAGTTCTAAAATAGGATTTTCCTTATGTTTTTCGAGATAACGCCATAAACCGCGCGAAATAATAACGTCTTTGTATGGCGGGCTATTTTTTAAGGAGATGAAATAGGCACTTATCAGTTAGAATATTAACGGAATAATGTATGAAAAGCACGATATTGGTTCAATTGATGTTACGAATTATAAGTTTATTTATAATAATAATATAATTAAACTATAATAATAACAATATTATGATTTAACTGCAGAAAAGGTTAATCGAGATCGGTCTCCCGGTATAGAAAAACAGGAAATTACGGGACGGTGCCTGTTTCGAACATTCTCGCTGCACAAGCCGTCAAGATGTGTATTTACAGGCATTATTTTTACATCATTATTTTGCATCATATTACAACAAGACAAAAAGACTTAAACAATTTGCAAAATACACGCGCAAGTAGCCAAACTGTACATAATAGGTTAAGAAGTCATTTGCGCCATATATTGAAAATGGATTCATCTTAATCCATTATAATGCAAGACCACACGTGGCAAAAATACCGAGAAGGGGTGGGATTAGGGTGTTTTAAATTGGCTTATTGTCCGGATATGAACCCTATAGAGCAAGTCTGCAACACCTACTACTAAAGCTAAAAATGAGATATGTTGTTCCAAAGAATCTTCAAGAACTTAAAGATGCTATAGGAAGACTAATTAACTTAATACCAAACCCTATGACAAGAGTAATTCGAGTCAGACGAGGGAATCCATAGTATTGTATTATTTTATTTAAAAAAATTTTTTTTGTGTTTCACTTTTCACTATAATTAATATGTTATTGTTTTATGTAGTTTATTTGTCTATTATTCCTTAGAAATTTATCAGGCTGTTCAAAAATTAAATTGGCGGAAACCATTTAATGTTTATACAATCTCCATGAACCGAAATTGCCTTGGCTTGAAAAAATATATTAACTCATACTTTTTTTTGCACACAAACTTATATCGTGATCTTAATGAATATTAATGAATCAGGTGTGATATTCGATATAGGGAAACTGGAAATGAAAGGGGAAGGCCTGTTTTTGGAAGTTGCCGTTTGTGTTTAGAAACATTACAACTAAGACATATTACAGCAAGACAACTGCAAAATGGCTTAAACAAGCCAAACCAAGCCAAGTTGTAGCTCATAGGTTAAGAGAAAATGGAATATGAGCAAGAGTGGCAGTGACAGAGCCTTATCTCACCAGAACACAGCATGTATATGTAAATTGAACCAATAGCGACGGGGCTCATGTTAAGCTTCTGCATGTATCCGAGTTTACTGAGACGGTGATCTATAAAAGGGCAGCACAGAATTAGTGGTAATGAATGGTCACTGCTGACATGTAAGAGATGTGATCATCTACTATTGAAGTTAAAAATGTGAAAATGTTGTTCTAAGGAATAGTTGACGAATGGGATATTCTTGATGATTTTTATATATTCAAATTATGTCATTGCCAAACCATAGAGAGCCGTCATTAGAGCCACAGAAGGAAATACATGTTATTAAATGGTTATCCTATTTTATTTAAAAAATAAATTTTGTTTTTGTTTTTTGAAATAAAATATTTATTTACTGAGTATGATGTTTCAAATGATAATTTATTTTAATATATGTATATTGGTATTTTAGAATTTTTTGGAGAACGCTTTTTGAATAGTTGTTTTGGGTTCAAATGAACTAGCAATTTCTTTTCAGGCGTGCACGATCATATTGAGAGGTGCCAGCAAAGACATCTTAAATGAGATGGAGCGCAACTTGCAGGACGCCCTGCAGGTGGCTCGAAATATTGTGTTGCTGCCTCGTCTCGTGCCGGGTGGCGGGGCTATAGAAATGGCGGTCGCGCAGCGTTTGTTACAGAAGGCTACGCACGGACCCTACAGGGCGTTAGCCCACGCACTGGAAATTATCCCACGCACTCTGGCCCAAAACTGCGGAGCCAATACGATCAAAACTTTGACCGCATTGAGGGCAAAACACGCTAACCATTCAGATGCGAAGGCGCCCTGCACTTGGGGTATCGACGGGGAGACGGGCGAATTGGTCGAGCAGAAGGAAAAGGGACTATGGGAACCATTGGCGGTTAAATTGCAGACGTACAAGACAGCTATCGAAACAGCGATTCTGTTACTGCGCATCGACGATATCGTTTCGGGATCAAAGAAGAAAGATAACGAGCCGTCGAAGCCGAGTCAAGTCGCGGAGCAAACGGAATCGAAGGATTAAGTTCCACACTGAGATTCTCCAAACTTTGAAAGCTATTTTTCATTAGTTTTTTGTATTCTTTAATATGATCACCCAGTATGTTTAACACATTAATCAGTAAATGACTCGCTTTTTTTCTATTTTTTATTTAATAATTAAGGTTATATTGACGAAAGCCACTCACACTTAACCTATCACTAAATACAATCTACACATTTGAAAATACAAGTAAAAGTAAGCGTCAACAATAAAATTATATCTTAAACTAACTTGGCTTAACATTAAGTTTTATACTTAGTTATTTTACTTTGAAGCAGTAAATGCAGTTTTAAATAGAAGCTAAAAGAACATGAAAATTTTCCAGTTCCATGACTGTTGCTCGGTCTCAGACTGAAGTTAAAATTGAATTGATTTCCTAATACTAATTTCCTCTGTTAAACTGGCTATATGTTTTATATTCAATGTTCACTGTGTATTCAAATACATCACCCAGATGCACCTTATAAATCAAAAATAGTAAGGATCAGTATTCCCCTGTGGCACCTCTGATATAATATCTAGAGATGACGACAGCACTTTTTCCCGCCGATTTCACAGTTCTACAGTGATTTTGATGTTTGAAAGCTCTTTGCTTATTTGTATATTTTTGGGGGCCTTTTTTTCAAAAAACGCGTTTAAGAATTAAGAAACTGGCAAAAATGTAGGAAAAAAAAGGCTTTGGTATTCCTATGGTATGGCGAGTGCCTAATAATCACGGTGGTGATTGTTTTTTTTTTTCTGTAATCTTTAAGGGATCAACAGAAAAAATAAGAAACAAATTGTGTATCCCAATCTTGATTCTGTTATTTGACCAGTTCCTCATGGACCAGATGTACCAATACCTACCGCCCCAAAAGAACTAGAAAACGTTATATCGTCCGAATCAGAGGAATCTAATTCTAAAAAGAGTTATGTCAATATTTTTTTCTACTCCCGTCTGTAAAATGCCAAATTGTACACGGACCTACCATGCGGGAAACGTCACTTTGTCACGTCAGTTTCGTTTCCCACGAATCCGAGCCATTTCGGACATTTCCGGGATTTTTCAGTACGGGTTTTGGAGCAATCGGATGTTTTCGGAGATATTTCGCACGCCTTGAATTTTGACGTTTGTTAATTCTGACGGTCATGTCCGTGAATCTATTTGTGTTGTTTTGCGAAAATGTACCCAAAAGCTAACGGTCGTAGAAAAAGTATACTATGCAACATGTTCGGTAAACTTTTTAAGTTACTCGTTTATTAAACACTCGCTCCGCTCGTGTCAAATAAACTCGTAAGTCAAATGCCGTTTACCACCACTTGTTGCATAATATACTATACTCAGGAAAGACCGCTAATATTTTTTTTTTGGCTAGGATTCCACTTTATTATTGAATAAAAAATACATTATATTTGCAAAAAAAACTTACGCCATAAAAATAAATGCATAGAATTTTTGAAATCAGCCTACCGAAATTATATAAAATCAGTTTTCAAAATAAAAACATCTGTCAAAAAGTTTAATTTTGTAGAACTGTGTTATTTACATACATTCATCAAATCCAATATACTGACACTTTCCAATCAACAATCTATGATTAATAGTATCGAAGGCCTCGTGAAATCTCATAAAATCAGAGCTGCAACCCTAGACGCTCTCAAGATTTCGTCAAACAGGTTCAATTAAACCAGACTGGTGTTTGGTTAATTGGAAACAGCTCATTCGCAGCTACATATTCATCATCTATTTGTATACCACTTTTTCTAGAAATTTCCTACTTTACTCACAGAGTTTTCAAAAAAAGCGACAATTACCTGAACGTCTAGGAATTTATAAATGAAAAAAGTTATGTTTCAAAATAAATTATTTTGTGCTGTTATGTCAAAGAACATAATTTCAAGGAATAATATTTTTGAAGGTGTTTTTTTTTTATGATAAGAGTTGGGCATGAATACACTTGAAAAATTAGTAATTAGAGAATTTTAAATTGAGATAACACCTAGAAATATTTAAACTGCTGATTGACATACGTATGTAAATTATAAATGACCTCTGTGTGGCTATCTGCTAGAAAAACTGCAACCCATACTTGCAACCGGCTATTTCATCAAAATCGTTTGTAATGTTACCCTCAACTGATTTTAAAGTTTTATGTGTTTCTAACGATTTGAAATTGCAAACTTGTCGCGCGAAGAGGGGAAGAATGTGCGACAGACTATTATACCGATTTTGTACAATTATAGTAAATAGACCTTCAAACTTCGTAATATGCACCGATAATTTATTCAGATTTATTAAACAAAATCACAACATAACAAATATACATGTAATGCAAATCTTTCTGAGTTAAAAATAGCGTTTCAGCAAACACCCAAAAACATCTAGGCAAAAAATCGTTTTAAACCTTTTTCTAGTATTTTACTGTGTAGGCGAACTCTACAAAACACTGCAAAATGGCTGACAAAGACATTTATTTTCATTTTTTCTTACAAACAAGCGCATAATGCAATTAAAATCGTCTATCTAGTTGCAGTTTTTTTACATCCCGTTTGCGACGATGTCCACAAAACATATTCACTTTTAGTGAAACTTTTATTTATATAAATATTTCATCTACTTTGAAGCAACGAAAACTTACTAGTGCTAAACCTATAGACCGAGGATCGAGAAAATGAACTACTATAAAAGTGGGGAGAGGAATTGTGATACACAACGTTTGAAGTCTACACTCCGTAATCAACAATTTATATTTTGTAAATAAATCTTTCCACAAATAATCACTCTTATAATTTTGTTTGGTAATCAATAGTTTTCCTAATGATATGTTGGGGTTTCTGTGATATGGTTGCGCTGGTGTAGATGTACTTGAAAAAAATCATATAATAGTATATTGAATGTAGTTAAGAGTTTAATAAAGAAACGAATGAAGAAGTTTATTAACACATTGCTAGATGATGAAAGGGAGTTGTAGCAGACATAATCTCACTTTTGGCATCCCGGCTGCGTGAATGGGGGCTGCAGGCACTCCTGCAGGGAGGGCTTTGCCCCCCGTGGGCCGCTCGGTCCGCGACCTAACCTAAAATATGACTCACCCTTTTGCGTGTCCGTTGTCGTTCGTGGTATTGGCCGTACTAACCGTGTCCGGGGGACCCACACGCGGTGCGCGCTCGCGTCGACCGTCCTTTCTTAACGAAACCAGAGGCGCCCATCGCAGCATCAGCTGCAAATTGTGCGCGGTGAAGTCATTGCGTGTCCCAACGCTTTGTTTAAACGAGCCGAAGGAAACGGGTTACTCATCGAAATGCGTTGGTAATAAATTCCATTTTAACAATTTGCCGCTGCCGCGCGTCCGTGGGCGCCTCTGGTTTCATTAACAAAGGACATTAACTGTCAACGAGATGCGCTCCACGCCCACACACGTGGTGATTTGGTATTCGACGCGCACACACGCGGTCATCGCGTGGACCAACGCTTCGTTGCCGAAGGAAATGGGTTACTCATCGGGACGCGTTGGTAATATAATTTTTAACAATTTATCGCTGATGCTGAAAATGGGCTCCAACTCATTAACAAAGGGCGATCGACGCGAGTGTCCCCCCCACCCCATGCCCATGGTGTCCGCCCGCAGCCGGAGGGGCCCCCATCCACGCAACCGGTATGCCAAAAGTAAGGTTATGTCCGCTGCAATTCCCTTTTATCATCTACTCACATTCACACTATAACAATATTTACTAATTTTCCGTTTGAGATACCAGGAGTTTACAGCAATCCATGCATATGTGACAAAAAATATATTGGAGAGACAGCACGGAAAATTTCAACTAGGCTAGATCCTTAAGACTGCGCCAAATAGACTTATCAACAGTTGCCGAACACAATCACGAAATCGGACATCAAATTTTATTTGATAAAACTACAATTCTTGAATAAAATCAATTCTACCAACGAAAAATCCGAGAATCTATAGAAACGTTTTAACAACCAAACAATTTTAACCACGACTCATATCATCTCAGACAATGTTCATGCCCCTCCTTTAGCTCCACCCCCTCAAACAATATATAAGCAGTTACAAAGTAGAATTCGAACTAGTTTCAGTTAAGCTCTGAAGAAGCCAACAGGATGATTGGCGAAACGTCAGCAGGTTCGTTTCATCAACAACCGCCGAAGAAAGAATCCAAAAGATTTGTAAGCAGTATTACAGTAGCCCGTGAAAGTTTCTTTGAAAAGTTCACTGAATGACGTGTGAATTTGAGAACGTCAAAATACGATCATACCGAAAACATCCGATCGCTCCCAAACCCGTGACTAAGGTACGGAGAATGACTGAAGACGCTTGTCATATTGGTTTACGAAGCTATATAACGTCTTTAAGTTACACTGTGTGTAAGCTTGATCAGTGCATTGGGAATTTTAGAGTATAAAAAGGATCTTAAATAAATAAAATGAATACCACATTCTAAAATACAATACACAATACACATACAATACACTTTTTTTTCTTAGCAAGAACTTACATCTGCTAATATATTTTTCATAGTTAAAATTTGTTTGAGTGTATTTGACAACAACTGAGTGGATGAATATCGTATATTGTGTCGTCTGTGCTGTCCTGCCTAAGTTGCGTCGCAATTTTTCAACTGCGTGCTAAAAAATACCTAACGTATAAAGAAAATTATAAAGCCACAAAAAAAGAACACGACACTATCTTTAAAAACACAGTGTACATCATATGAATATCGTATCCTAAAATAAGACAATAAAATGTATGTGGTCCTTAACGAAAGAAATTACAGGAAAACAGGAAAAGAACGTAGTCAATGTCTACAATTAATATCTGGTCTCAGTTATTCCAAATATGGGTAAATGTTATTTCGATCTTACTTGCGGAGGGGCTCCTCCATACCACCGAATTGTAGTTTCATGTATCTACCCTTACGCCAAAATAAATTTGTAGATTAGTCAACGATATTAAAAACACACATAGTACTGATGTAGATAAAAATAAAGTGAGTACCATAATACCATATTTGTGTTGTAACAGGTATTATGTGCTTTGGTCAATAGATCTTTTAAAAACGGCATCTCCTAGTGGTCTCAATACATCTTTAATAA